AGGATAAATACAGTTTCCTATTGTCCTTGAAATCAGAAAAAATATCGTACTTTCGGTTGAGGTATAATAAAAAGTAATTTTACTAAAGCCACCCTACATTTGTCCTAAAACTGACTGAATAAAATCACAGCTTGAGGTACCTAATACTGATACGTGTAATTCTATCTACGTTGTAATTATTTTTTGTAAAAAACTTGATGCTTGATATACGTACGTATTATGCATGAACGTCACGGATCTTACACCGGTCTGACATTAGTAATGAAATCAATGGTACATGCATCGAGTTCATACAAGAAGAGAGACTGCTTCGTGCTATTTAAAGCGATCGACTAAAAAGCTTTCACTTTTCTTACAACTAACTAAACGTATACGATCTAAAATCACAAATTAGGTAAGTACTGTATGCCTTACACAGTGTATATATGTATTTGTGTATTTAATCAAATACATCTTCCTGTCAATCTAAATTTTATTCATTCTGCTAGGAGCAGTAGCAGAAAGATGAAGATAAGTCGTGAATTAATCTAAACAAGCATGAACCAAAAATTACAGGCGGTCTGAACGGCGTTCTTAACTCATTCTATCTTCCTGACATTGAAAATGATATTCTTTTAAATAGAATAGGTAAATTCATAGTAGCACATAATTTTCTAAAAGTTTATTCATTAATATTTTCTGCAAACAGATGTAAACTGCATAAATAAATATTATATTTATTGAGCTTTCGTGTCTGTCAACGATTAGCCAAACTTTCGCTTGTCACAAGAACGATTTTTGCAAGTTTAGAATACTAAATTTTTAGTCAAGGACCAATCACAGTTAAACCCTATATGGTCAGATATAATTCCCAAAAAATTACCTTAAAACGTATCGGGGAACGCAATTTTTCTTTTTGTTTGTTCTTTGGAATTTGCCCAGTCACTTCATCCTTAAAACTATTGCATTATGGCAGTCAATAGGAAATAGGCGAGATAGGTTGGTAGGATGCCTTTTTAGGCATGAAGTAAGAAGCATATTCGAAGCAGAAACAGGAATTAAGGGGGGCCAGATTTGTAGACTTACACTAGATTACTGTTTTGGAATAAGTCCTCATGAAATAACACACATAGAAAGCATTAAAATTTTAAAAATCATTATCTTATTGATTTTCTTTATTTAATTACTGTATAACTAGTTGTTAATAGATTGTCTTTAATATGTTTTGATAATTGCCGCAAATTTGGGTAAACCGATTATAAATATTAAAAAATTGGTCTGAGCACATTTTGGTCGGTGCTAATACGACTAACTTCCCATTAGATAATACAGTTATTGTAAAGTACATTCGTTTCTAAAGTTTGAAAAAAACGCGGCACAATAATAAATAACAAACAATGTTTGAGAGTTCGTCATTTTATAAACCCATAAGAAACAGTATTTCGTCTGAGAAAACCGAATTGATAGAGTACTTGCATCAGTCAATTGGTAAATACTATTTTTTATTGTTTATCGATTGTTTATAACAATTCATTTTGTTATAAACAAATTTTTATTATAATATGTTATTATAATATGTTATTCCCTGTCTTGAATAATGATATTTCGTTATTATTGATTCCGTAACTTCATTGTTGTGATTAGATTAGAACGTATTTTAATTAAATTGTTTGTAATTAATTCGTTTTTTTTTTTATAAAAAAAAAACGGCTTGACCGATTTCGTTCAAATTTCTTTCAGATCTTCATTATGATAATATCTTTCGAAAAAATTTTGGTTGAGGGCGATATCTCAATCCGTTCTTGAGATATCGAAAACGAAAAAAATGCTGACATACGAACGTACGTACATACGTACGTACGTACGTACGTAC